GAGAACGTTAAATACAGAGAAGCAGCATTGTCATCGAAATGGCAGATTTACGTTCCAACTTGTTCAGATCGCGTACACACCACTCGGTGGCGTACGGCTGTTAATAATCGCGTACTCACCACTGATTAACAGTGAGACCGTGAGAACCGCCCAACTAACAGAATTTGAGTATGTAATGAAATTGGAAAATCTTCATTTTTTTTGTGAATTGTACAAACAAATGTATTTAAACCGAAAATGTTATATACGATTTTCTGATTTTTGTGCCATTTTGTGAAAATATTCAAATATTTATTTTGGTTTTAAACGATTTTTTCAGCACTTAATCTTATAAAATTCGTTGTTTTTATGTTATGTAAAAACAACCTTACGTCAATAAATGCTCAACCTTAACAAAAATATGTAGCTCTTCATTTTAGCTACTATTAGTATTATTTAGCTTTTTTCGACCGTTTTAGCTCCAAACGAAATTTCTCTGGCAACACTGCGTAAATCATTCAAAATGCTTAACATTCATTAAATATACGAAATGTTATTTCTCGCTCAGCTCTGTTACTCCGCCGTGTTGTTAGATCAGCTGATGTCTTCGCCTTACATGTATTTTGTTTTTATTTTTACTGATGTTACAGCACACCCATCAAAAGAAAAAAACAAAATACATGTAAACTTTGGGGTGAATTGAGATTTGGCATAACACCCGCAATACAAAATACATGGGCATCGGCGTAGCCAGAATGAAATTTAGGGGGGGCCTCGACCCTATTAAGCTGGCATTTCAGGGTACTATTTTATATATATATAAGTAAAATTTTAAAGTTAGGGGGAGGCTCGAGCACCCCAGCCCCTACCTGGCTACGCCTATGTACATGGGATTGTTGTATTTGCTCTGCCGCTACCTCCTTGTATAATTTCGTCTTGCAACTGACGTTAGCGCCTCATTAGTATAAATATTAGGGGTCTTCATCAAAACTCTTGATAAACTTGATAAAGTGATAAATTTATCATTTTGACAAATGAACTGTCAAACTTTGTATGGAAATCGATTTAACCAAAGTTCATCACTTTATCAAACGACTTCGCTTTTGCTACGAAAACATAAAAGCAAATGAACACAATGTACGAGGTAAGAATGAAACGTAACTAGCCATAAAAGTTAAATAATAAACAATGGGTATTCATGGAAACGCGCAAATGCCTCGTAATCGCGTAAACCTCGTAAATAACCTGATTTTCCATACAAAATGATGTAAGTGGGTGCACATTTGTGGCCAGTATGTTGGAATTGAAAAATCAACCCGTGGTAATGATATGCGATTGTAAAACACTTTCAATCATGAAAACCAAATTTTATGAACTTTTTTTGTTTATTGTCATCAAGTTTCACTTTGTATATTTTATAATACATACCAATCTAGTCGCACTCAATCACCGCGCCTTTTTGGTTTTTTTTTTTTTGTTTTCATTCTTAGGCAGATGGCAAAAACGCTCAGAAATATACTTTTTTCTTGCTTCTTTGATTAGGTAATTTTGTATTTTTGGTTCATGAAAGAGAATGAACAAGAATTGTTCTAATGCTTGAATCATGTAAATCGGGTGTTAATTTACGTTCCTTTTTGTGCCATGACTTTTGTGATGAGAGTATTGAAAGTGTTGGCAGTCCTATTGCAGCTGCTTACCCATTGCACACTAGATGTCACCCTAAATGTCAAACCAGCTGACATTCCTTCCCTTTTGACATTTGGCGCCAAAACAAGCGTTTTGCCTTTCCATCTTGAGCGGAATTTTGCAAAAGTGATCATTCCAAAAAAATTCATCGTGTCGTGTGCTTGTGAAATCTAATTAACTGCTTCAATTTGAACGGATTTTTAACTTTGAACTACAAATAAACATCAAGATGTTCGAAGCACGCTTAAACAATGCAACTATCTTGAAGAAAATCTTGGACGCCATCAAAGACTTGCTGAATGAAGGCACCTTCGACTGCAGCGATTCGGGCATACAGGTTAGTGTTCAATAAAGTTTTCCACCCGTGTCGAAACTAATTTTTAAATTTATAATTCTAGTTGCAAGCTATGGATAATTCCCACGTTTCGCTGGTTTCTCTGACGCTACGTTCAGATGGCTTCGATAAATTCCGCTGTGATCGCAACCTTTCTATGGGCATGAATCTGGGCAGCATGGCAAAAATTTTGAAGTGCGCTAATAATGATGATACAGTGACAATTAAGGCACAGGATAACGCCGACACTGTAACTTTTATGTTTGAGTCGCATAATCAAGAAAAAGTGTCGGACTACGAAATGAAATTGATGAATCTGGACCAAGAACATTTGGGTATACCGGAAACAGACTATGCATGTGTTGTACGCATGCCAGCAATGGAATTTGCACGCATCTGCCGTGACTTGGCGCAATTCAGTGAATCGGTTGTTATTTGCTGCACCAAAGAAGGTGTAAAATTCTCAGCGTCTGGTGATGTTGGCTCAGCTAATGTGAAATTAGCACAAACTTCAAGCGTTGACAAGGAAGAGGAAGCAATCGTGATCGAAATGCAAGAGCCTGTCGTACTAACATTTGCTTGCCGCTACCTAAATGCATTCACAAAGGCGACGCCTCTTTCAAATCAAGTGCAGCTGTCGATGTCGGCCGATGTGCCACTAGTGGTTGAATATCGTATCGCTGAATTGGGACATATACGCTACTATTTGGCGCCGAAAATTGAAGATGATGAGAATTAAGAGTAGATTGAATGATTTTGCACCATGCATTGCACTGAATCGGTATATCTCACATTTGTATTTGGTATAAGCGTATATTAAATATTAACTAATTTTAAGCATTAACATATGTAATACCCCCTGTCGTATTGCTTACATTTCAAAAACAATTTATACACATAATTATTAAAGTTTTGTATTTACAGCATATGGTAATTAATAGCAATTGATAAAATAAAATCAAATTCGTGTATTGAGTACAAGTAATGGCTTTTGTACTTTTTAAACTTGAAAAAAGAAAGCTTCCAGAGATTTGTCTAATGTGGATTGCCACAACGGTGTAGCAGCACCTTCCCTTCAAGAGCGTCTCGTTTTTTGCTAAGTGGAGGTTCTCGCAACGAGTTTCCTCGGGTAGATTTGGCAACGTGCATGGTTTTCCGTTTGTACGACTGCATTTCCAAGTTGACTCACAGTCTATTGGGTTTAGGTGTTGAAAAAATCTTCCCTATTCCAAAAAGCAACCCACTATGTAATTACTGAAGTGTTTACAATTCTCATATTAGGCATGAAGTAAGAACTAACTAAAAAATCTCGATTTATAAAAATGTTTTCCTTTTTTTTTTGTACTCAACAGTGAACCCATGTATACATACATGCATAGTTCGAAGTAAAATGCATTCAATAACATATAACTTAATTCTAGTAGTTTAGACCAAAACTGTTCATATGGAAAAAATGTAACTGCGTGCGAAATTTGTCTTTTGTGGTCCCTAATACTTCTGCTTCATTCCACAATGTAATTGGGATGCACGACCAGCAATGGATCGTCCGGTTCCTCTGCGTCTTCCTCGGTGCGCCGCGGACTCTTGCCGGGCTGTCGCAGCTCAGTTGTCTTCAAAGGTATAATCACTTGATCGTGATATATTAAACGATCAATAACTTTCTCGATTAAATGTTTGCGTGAGATAAGCTCCTCTTCTGTTTCAATTTGATCGGCTACTTGCTCTAAATACCAGGTAACCACATCACTGCGCTTCATACCAGTATCGGCTCCTTCTGTCTCGCAGCGTGCTTCCTCGTTACGCATATGCAGCACCAGCATAGTGGATAGATTTTTATAATCTTCAAATGACAATGTAAGCTTTTTCTTTTGCAAAGCGCTTCCACCCGCTTCAGCACCCTCTTCTGCGTATGCACCATCCGTGGCAATGATATTAGTGGAACCATTGGCTACTGCAGCGTTATTTTCCATTTCTACATCGCCAATATAGGCATCTTCATTACCTTCGTCATCGTCCAGATGAATGTCTGTCTGTTCGACTCGTATAATTGATTTGTTAAGCAACCGATAAGCTTCTTTTACGTGTCGCTCCTGTACTTCATTCATACATTCAAGTTTCGCCATTGCTTCACTTAGTCGAATCATTGACTCCAACTGACGCACCGTTATACGCCACGTACTACGACCCGCAACACCTGTGTCACGTTGTCGCAAGTGCCCATAATTCTCAACGAGCAACTTCTTCGCTTCTTCGCCAATAATTGGCTTGAATTGGCGTGAGAATGTGATGTAGCGCAATACTTCTTCGCGCGTATAAGCACATACAACGGATTCTTCTATATGCGAATGTAGATCGACAATTTTGCGTGCTATGGCATAGTCCACAACTTCGTTGCATTCATCTACGAGTATGAAGAATAAGTCGAAACGTGACATAATAGGTGCTGACAACTGTATGTTCTGCTGCAAGCTTTTTGTACGATCATACCGGCCGTTAATGGGATTTGCGGCCGCCAAAATTGAAGTGCGCGCATTTAATGTGGCACGCACACCAGCTTTTGCCAAAGAAATTGTTTGCTGTTCCATAGCTTCGTGGATGGCGACTTGATCGCGCGGATCCATTTTGTCGAACTCATCAATGCAGCAGATACCGTTGTCAGCCAACATTAGGGCGCCAGCTTCAATAACAAAATCGAAACTCTCCTCATCACGCACCACGGCAGCAGTAAGACCAGCTGCAGTAGAAGCCTTGCCGGATGTGTAAACTGCGCGCGGTGAGAAGTCGGCGACTTGACGCAGAAACTGAGATTTGGCAGTACTAGGATCACCTACGATGCAAACGTTGATATCACCACGCAAAGTTGTTTCTGAAAAAGGTGAATATTTATTAGTATGTCACATTCAGCAAAATTGCAATGCATCTGAACTTACTTTCATGTGTAGTTTTTCCGACACCACCAAAGAGTTGAAGCAAAACGCCACGTTTGACCTCATCGTTACCATAGATGGAAGGAAACAAGCTGGTGATAAGATTATTGTACAAATTACGATCCTTGGACATTTCATAAACTTTGTTCCATTCAGCATCGGTCATTTGTTTTTTCATATCCTCCGCAGTTACCTCAGACATAGGCAGGTCAGTACCGCCAAAACGTGCTGTTGTTGCTTGTACACTACAGGCCAAGAATGACATGCGATAGTTAAGTTCTCGGGTACCCAATTCCTTTAAACCAGTCACACCCTCAGGCCCATCTCCTGGTTTATGCCGCGAACCCATATCAGCTTTAGCGCCGGGCATATTTAATACACCTACATCGGGTACAACTATCAATGTGCCAGTAAAATCGTAACGGTCTCCCGCTTGCACAGTTTCCACCAATTCTGAACGCAAAATAATTTCAACAGATCTCGGTATGCAACCGCGCGGCAACTCCGATTGTGTTTCCTGTATGCGTATTTTTTGGAAATCAACAAAAAGTGATTTTTCCACATCCAGCATGAAACGACGTCGATTACTACAAACAGGATTTCGACATATAGTTGGATTGGTGAATTTAAATTGCTGCTCTACATTTCGAATTTCCGTTTGACAATCTATGCACATGAAAGTACCGGTCACAAGTTCCGGATGTACAGGATGTGTACGTACCACTTGGCCGCAAATGCGGATCAAAGTGCCAATCTTGGAGGTTGTTAAGTCGCGCACTTTGTGACGTGTAGGCACATCAGTGAAAGATATGTAACATTCTTTCTCATTTTTCAGGCCGCAACGATCCTTGACGAAGTTAGAAACCGATTGGCAGAGGAAAGGGTATATTCTGTAAAGGGACACATACTACTTATCAAAGTTGCGCACATTTCCACACACAACATACCGAAAGTATTCTTCAATAATTGTGGCAGCCAAATTCTGATTGTACTTCTCGACATCATCGAAAGACACTTCCAATGTATAGCGATCCGGCGATTCTAAATCTGCAGCAGGTTTCACATACTTAATATTGCCATCTTCCTTGAATCTGTATTAAATATTTTTTAATATTAAACCGTGTCACTTTAACTAGACGCAAATGCAACCACCATTGAACTTACTCTTCCAAGAAGTCCTGAAAAAGTTTCTGACATCGCAACCCCACCTCATCTTTTACACGTAATTGTCCGATTTGTGCATCTGCTACATCCATGATTTGAGTTCAGATTTATCACGAAACAAACAAATCGCCGCTTATTTTAATTTTTGTCACACAATTTCCCAAACACGCTGACGGCGAAAGATGCTTGAATGGAATTTGACAGCAGCGGCGTTGTTTCGGCGCGCAAAATCTTCTTCTTATCGCCCAATCAGTTGTCAACAACAGCTTGGCAGCACTGCGAATGTAGCAGAGAACGTAAATTTTTACGACGTACATATGTATCCTATTTCCGCCATGAAAATCAAATCGTCGAGCTGGAAATGCGATGTGAAAAAATTTTGCAAAAAAATTTTTGTAAAAATTGTGACTATAAAGTGTATATAAAAGTGAAGAAAGTGGGTTTCGGGAACAAATTGACTGTGGGTAATGTAGTGAGTGTTCTGAACATTATGATGTTAACGTTTCCGTTTGTCTGAGACCCGGAACTTAAAAAGGCCAAAGGAAATCAATTGAGTCGCGACCGCGCTCTCAGTCAAGATGGAGGTCGCGCTTTGAAGTTGTGAATTTGTGGTAAGTTGAACTAATTGCCACTAAAAACCAAAAAAAATTGTGGAGTTTTAAATTAAATGAATGCCAATGATTGTAAATAGCGGTTATGCCACAAATTGACAACTGTAGCGTAAGCAAGTACAAGTACTTATGTATGTGTACGCTCATATATTCATATGCCATTCCCACGACAGCCGGTTCTACGTACCGGAATGACTCGGGTTTTACCCGACCAAGGGCTGTTGTTTCGGCGATCTAACCCCGTTTAGGTCGGCGCAGTATCTCAGAAGTTGTTCGTCCATAGGGCTACATTCGCTACGTTTTCTCCAACTCAGGGCTGGCATCGAGTCAAACCCAGGGCCAGAAACCTACACCTGCTGTGTATGCCAGAGACGACTACACCACAACTCCACCTCTGTCAAGTGCAATGCTTGCGAGGGGTGGTGTCACCTCAGAGTCTGCTCAGGACTACGGACACATCGGCAGTGGACCACGTCGTATGTGGCCCCCTGCTGCTCAAACAGAGCAGCCTCCACGGCTAACCTCAGTCCACCAGAGCAGCCTCACACAGTCACCACAGCACAACAACATAATAACACCACAGACCATAACACAGCCACGACAGACCATAGAACACACACAGCCGCACCACCACCCACACGCCGCCGCCAACAACTCCTGGTTTCTCCTACAATCTGAACGGTATGTCAGACCATGATATTCCGTAATGTGACACCAGTCAAGTGCAACACCTGCCTTGGCTGGTGCCACTTTAGGGCATGCTCAGTTCTGCGTACCACGCGAGACTGGACGAGGAACTTCGAGGGCCCGTGTTGCGCTGCTCGGTCGCAGACCCCAACTGCGACGCCTCCCGCCACCACCACAGGGCGGCAACCATCACAGCAGCGCACACAGCCAATGGCAGTAAGAACACATACATTCCGTAAGTTCCGCAGGGCTGTCACTGCTGCTGCAGCTCATACCGGCAGGATGTATAACGGACCCACGTCCAAACTTCCCTGCCGAAGCGGCTGTTCTAGCCGATGAGCGCGACAGCCTTCGTCAGGCCGATCCCGGAGATCCCCGTATTAGGGATCTCAACGCGGAGATTCGGCAACTAGTAAACGTACATGAGCGGAAGAAGTGGGATTAGCATCTGAAGATCTGTAACTTCGCCTCTGGTGTGAGTAAGCTTTGGTCAACCGTGAGGTCACTGTCCAATCCGACGAAGCACGACGACAGAGTCGAAATTTCTTTCGGCGACCATGCTTCGTCGGACCCGGAGCGATGCGCGA